CACTGGTGGCAATGCTGAGTGGGGTGCGGCCGAGGACCCTTCCACCAGTGACGTTGGCAGTAACCGCCCGTCCCACCTCTCTTGCCCACTCCCTTCAGGAAGACAAGAGCTGAAGGTTCTCCTCAAAACATATCGCCTTTTAGCACCCGATGATCCCTCCAGGCGAGTACAACTCCCTCATGATGTCACATTTAGATCCCACGATTGTGGGCCGATCTTATGGGTTGAATTTCCAATTTCGCTCATAGGAAAGAAAAAAAAAGACCATTTGGGGTTACTGGTCATAATAGTAATTGATGTGATGCTACCATTGGCACTGAGGAGCGGTCGTTCACACACCAGCGATAGCCTGCAGAAAGCACACTATGGCAACCAGTAAGCGGGCACCGACAGCGCGACTTACAACTACTTGAATGGCTTTAGAGCACAACCCATTCCTCTGTTAATCTAATGATGGTCAAGAGGGATATGCTTTCAATTTTGGATCGCGAGAGGCAACTTTTCTCCCTTTGGATACTTGTCTATTCCCAAAGTAAACTTCGACTTTCATTTCAGTAATAAGGGCGATTACAGTTGACGAGATTATCGATGCAGTTGACGAGATTCTCGATGGACTTCGGATGGGTCTTTTATAACGATGTCGGAAATGTCGGATGATGAGGTGAAGTTTTTTTTCGTATGGGCATGTGATAAGACAATCGTAAAATGGCGCGTTGATGGGCGTGGCGAGCGAAGTCGCGCCCGGCGGACGAGATCTCATGCACAACCATTTGAATATTAGTGTCAAAAGGATGGGGCTATTAGATTTTCGCCCGTGGGGTCTTGTCTTTGCTTGAGTTCCTACGAGATCGGCTGCACCAGTCAACAAACTGATGCTCCTCGAGAATTAGCCGTGCGTCATCTCATGATACGTCACCTAGACGAAGCATCAAGTTACGATTGTCTTGTCCACCTCCCTTTTGGATCATGTCCAGTCAAAACTTGTTAATTGCTAAATTTCTCTTGCAAGCATATATACCCGTATTAGGCTACAAGTGTAAAAGGTAATAATTTCTACGCTTGTGGACTAATAAGGGTATACACGCTATAGGGAAGAGCAAAACATCCACGTTCATTCATAGCCGCTGCCAGAGGAGCTCTAGAAAAAAAATCGACAACTAAGTCGTATCAGACCGATAATAAGGCTTTCCAGGACCAGCCACCGATGGGCGTATGCCGCCAGGCTTGGGAATCTCAGCGGAGAAATGATAGCAATTCCCAGTAAGCCAAGGAAAGCTTTGGTTCAGAGTTCAGGGCACCACCTCTACCTCCATACCTTGAAGACTGTTATCTTGTTGTTTTTTCGTATATAATATGGTTTTTTTTGTAATTTTGGTATTGTTTCTCTTTTTTGGTATTGTTCTGTTTTGTGTCTTTTGTATGTGTTTTTTTCGGTATAATAAAGTTTTTGTAAGGTTCACTAGCCTAATTGACTTTATAGCCATTCATGGAGTACAAGTAGGCATGGTTGGGTAGGGCTTTTCTATTGGTTTGATTTGCCATCACGACTAGTAAGTGATAGGTGCTGATACCTAAACTTCATACCACGAATGTGGAGAAGGAATGGTTGCGTGTATGGTCTGCACATGACGCAAGATTTGTCCAGTGGGATGTTTTCATTTGAGGCACTATCATTCTGTCATGTACCAGATCAATACATGATCAATTATCCCGAAACGAAAATATAATATTAGGAGTGTAACCGCTACGTTTAATTGAATAGCGCAGCCACGCCCTCTCATATCCGGGATATTCAATCTATTTAGCGCACTCATAGGTGAGCTTTATCCAAATCTTCTGTAATTAATAAATGCAGACTACAGAAATAACAAACTAATTTGAATAAAGTGTATAGAAAGCATATAGAAACCGATAGAATTGCACAAATTACACTCGAAACCCTTGAAATCTGGTAGGCGTGGCTGCTTACTAGAACTAAAGGTGGCGATGGCTGTGTTTCTATTGAGGTAATTTCATCATGACACAGCGTGCTCCTCTCTTGGTCCAACACTGAATAAGATGGCACTTGTCTCAAACTGAGGTATCATACAACTAGCCCATTCTATTAGATTGTTGCATAAGTCTTTTCCTCCCTGTTTTGATCCTCTCCGTATTTCGTACGCATGGAAGTTGGTATTCCGTCATCACGTGTGCGTGACGTGTACTTGATACTCTTTCATCATACTGGCTATCACTCACCCACCCTGCATTTGCAGGCCACAGTGCCGCACAATAACCACTGAAAAATCACGTCACAGTGGCGATTGTGCGGCATTGTGGCCTTCTTCAGGTCCCAGCCCCGCACTTCTGGGAGGAAGGAATCGACAAGCTTTACGAGCGTTGATGTCGAGTAGTGGATGGTGATGGTGCATACCTCTAATCTTTAGGTTGGCTCGCTACTGAGTTTACGAAAAGTCGGAGAAAAGAACTTATGCAACGACCTACTATGCCACGTTCAAATGCCACGCCTACTCCGTCTCGGAGATAAGGAGTGTATTTCTAGAGAGAAACGAGCTTCTAGTCAGTAAAGAGTAAAAAAGTCGGATTATAATTTTTCGTACTAGTATGTAGGCTTTCTGCAAATCACGTAACAGAATTAAGGTCAAGAAAGGTCATCCCTGAACCACTTGTTGGCTGTTAGCCGCTGCCATGGTTCGAGCATCCTCAACACGACGAAGGGGGGGGGGGAAGGGATGTAGTTGGCTGCCTAGAGAGAGTAGTGGGGGTCATCTCTGGAGGACTTAGTATTCAACAGAGCTGTTAAAGCGTGAAGTACGGGAAAGTGGGGAGGGGGTGGGGGCAAAAGTAGAGATAATGTAGTGGTAGGGCGGATGACACAACCTAGGGCCAGATTGCAGTGAAGTCATAGCTCTGGAAACTCACGCGCTCAGGACCTTTTTATCGTTTGTTTGGAGAAAACCCTCCAATTTTTAGATTACTTAGAGAATTGAGTATTCTTTATAGGTTCTCTGGTATATGAAGAGGGAATCTTCTGCTTCCCCAGCGCCGCTTCCTATTTCGCCCTGGTTGACACAGAAGTCGTGACTTCGTGATGAATTCAGGACCCCTTGGGTGGATAACCCCTCAGTGAGTTTGTATGGGCTCTGTGTAGGGTAGCAATCGTCACATTAAGTATGCAGGATCGTATATACACCCCATGCAGCGGGAAGGACCCTAAAGGTCCACCGTTGTCAACCGGTGCTCGAGCTAGATTATGCCTTTTTTATTTGTGGATACACTGCATATTCCATCGATGGAGTGGGCGTGGCTGTCCACCTTCCTTGACTATGGCGTCACACTGTTTTTTTCCAGACAAAGCAATTTCATACAAGCGTCATCCTGCCCTGTACGATACAAAATCAAGGATGCTCTCTTCTGAAAGTGCAATATGCCTCCAGGGGCAGCTGCCGTGAGCCACATTCTAATGAAGTACACAACTGCGGACCCCCATATCTGATATATGGTGGTGTATGTATTTGCCTCCACACACTACGCCACTACTTACGTCAAAGAACGCAAACACCCATGAAGATCACGATCGAATGCCTATTTGCTAGTCCCTGCGCGATCTCTACCAAAACCGAGCCCAGTTTGCGCGTTGCAGCTGAACGAATAGGGCTCAACTTGCTAATTTTCAGATGCCGTTCAAAACCTGCAACACTGACTAGGGTGTCACTACAATTGCTCTGGAACCAGAACTTTTATATATAGAATAAATATAGATTTACAAAGTTAAATTATTTCTTCTTAGGAGCTGGCATGATTGGGATGACCCTCTTGTTGGTGTGTTGGCCAGTCTTCGGAGCTTCCACGGAGAGTTGTCCGTTGTTGTCGATCTGTGTGTGTACGGCATCCAGGTCGCAATCTTCAGAAAGAGCCCTCTGTGGACGAAGTTCCTGAACAGTAAATGGTGAAGCTATGGTTGAGAATGAACACACAGCATATTAACAGTTGTTAACTTCTTGATGTAGCCATGTTCGGTCTTCACTTCTTGGTGGCCTTCAATGGTGAGATCACGTC